CGGTGGGGTAAGGCAAGAAGCATCACTGTGGTCCTGAAACAGAGCTGTAAAATATGAGGAATTTGTTCATTTTATAGGAAATTAGAAAAAGAATATGAGGGAAAAAAACAGAAAAATTCTTATTTTACAAAATAAGACAAGATCACAGTGTGTTATTTTATTTGATATTGAAAACTCCCACTCAAGAAAAGCTTTTGTTAAAAACAAAAAAGTATTTTACTATCAGAAGTAAAAGAGATAATGTCTCTATAAATCCTAAAGATATTGAAATATGAATAATTAATTACTATAAACATCTGTTGGAACCAAATGTCACAACTCAGATGAAGGAGATATTTCTCAAGAAACACAAATTATCAAAATGAACCAAAGTGATGCAGGAACTCAAAGCAGCCTTATATTTTTGATAGAGAAAGTGAACTCAGAATCAAAAACTCTTTGGACAAATCAACTACAAAGCAATCGTGTTATTGCTTTTCAACTTCAGATTCAAATGCTAATACCTGAACTCTGTACATTATTTCTTCTGAGAAGAGTTCTGAACCAAGATAATATTAATATTATACCCCGGCACAGTTCAAAAAAAAATTACATCTCCGCACCCCTCTTAAACATAAATAATCAAAACAAAAATTATTTTCTAAATTTCAGTAAATTCAGAAAAAACAAAAAATAGTAATACATTTTATATCCAGGTAAGGTTAGCCTAGGTAACGGGTCCAGCACGATGGCTCAGTGACTAAATCCATGAGTTGCAAGAGTTGGGATCTCATGAGGCTGCTGGTTCATGTCCTGGCTCGTCCACTTCCTATTCACCTCCCTTCCCTTTGGCCTAGGAGAGCAGTGGAGGATGGCCCAACTCTTTACAACCCTACACCCACATAGGAGACCTGGAAGAACCTCCTGGATGTTGGATTCTGATCAGCTCAGCTCCCGGTGTGGCTGCAACTTTGGGAGTCAAACAGGGATGGAAAGATCTTTCTCTCTTCCCTTTATAAATCTGCCTTTACAATAAAAATAAATAAATCTTAAAAGAAAGAAAATGTGTCAGAGAGAGATATAGCAAGATGGCATTAGAGTAATGTGTAATCAGAGACCGTCTTCACACAAATATTTAGAAGGTATTCACACACAAAATTACCTTTATAAAAGCTTGGGATACTGGGTGACGTAACAGAACACCTGATTTTAATGTGACAGTTATTAAAGACATATGAAGAAGAAAGAAAGGATCCAGTTACATATGTCATGCCTCCTCTTCCTTTAGCTCCAGTTCTGCATTGTAGGAAGAGAAGTGGTGCTACCGACTCTGAAAGGGGTTTAATTCCAGACCTTAGAGTAGAAGCCCAATACCAAGTCCACCACAAGCAAGGCCAGTACCTTATTGTGTCTCAAGTCGCTACACTGACCTTTTGTGTCCTTCTTAGACAGGTGGACACTTCCCCAGCCACTTCTTGTTCAACTTCAATGGAGGAACCAAGACTGCTGCCAGTGCTGAGCAGGGAGAGACGGAGAGCTTATGACTTTGCCTTGAAACTCAGAGGCAATCACACTTTCATGAAACTCGGTGCCTGATGGAATCCAGTGGTCTTCAGGCCAATGCTTGAATGTAGGGCTTTTCTCTGTGCCCTGGCATCTTCAGGTAGAGACCCATACCCCAGTGGGAAAGACTGCTTTCACCCTGTGCCACCATTACCTTCAGGAGGGCTGGTTTTGCACCTCTGAGATCACTCAATATTCCATGATTTTGAGACTCTGGGAGACTTACTTTCTGATCTCTGTGTATAAAAGTGCTGGGGTCCATGCACTGGGTATGGATGGCACGAAGGTGTGAAGAGAGCAGCTCCCCTGTTGGCAAGGCCGTGAGGAGCTTCCAATTGTATGGCAGGGCCTGGCTGATGTCTCTACAATCACCTTGATTCAGTTTCAACCCCTTTTGAATGGACATTCAACCACCCTGCTAAAATTCTGTAATCTATTAAGGCATTGTCATTTGCCCCTTGTAAGATGGTTTTTGCAACCAATGTGAACTTGGGAGTTAATGTTTCTGACCATGTCTTGGTGAGTGGGCCTTTAATAATTTGCACATAGGAGTACAATTACACCTGTGCCTACCCAATGCGTTGTAATCTGGCCCAGACATATAGCATGCCTTCTGGAAAATGGCTTGATAAGTATCCTAAAAGTTAATGAAAGTGATGGGAGTATGAGTTGAAACTGCTATGGAAATAAGCACAGTTATCGTGACCTTGAAAGCTAGCCTGTCCTTGCAATTCTTTGAAGCACAGAAAATATATCTGTTGCAGCCACTTTAATAGTTTTGGCTAGAGGAATTAAAAGATGCTTTTACTAATATTATAGAGATGTGCTTTTAATTCTTGTTTGTTTATGGGATTGTAGAGCCTGCCGTTATAGGGGGACATAATATTTGAAACTTTGTGTTGATCTTTAGGTTTTTTTCCCTTGTGACATATATTTCCCATTACATAATGGTTAAATTGTAGAAATAGAAATGTGGTAGGTATATATTACTTATTAGCAGGTAACCACATGTACCTTGTCCTTGGAGTCCTGGCTGTTGCTCCACGGCTACTACTGAAGAATGAACAATGACTTTCTTTAAAGAATAAGAATACGGTATTTTGCAGAATTATCTTTGGGTAACTACTTAACCATGAATTAGAAATAGAATTACCAAATGTCTGTGCTTGCCCCCTTAGTCATGAAGTAAAAATAGAATGATTAAATGTTTGTGCAGAAGCTTGAGATGTGACTGGGTAAATAAAAAGGACCCTTCTTGAGCTGTTCCAAGAAGGCACCAAGTGACAGTGTCCATATCTCTTTTCGGAGACTCAACACTGCCTTCTTGAGTTCCAAACTCAGTTGGAGTTTGCCTATGGCATACAGGAAGTTTTTTTTATGATCACAGTAAGTTTATCTTTACACATGGATTTGGACATCTGCTATTCAAGACTAGATAGGCCCTATTGGTTCCAACACAGGTACAGGCTTTCCTGATTGGCAGAATCCTGAGGCAGCACAAAGCATCAGCAGCAACAGGGAACACATGCTTGTCTGGGTGTCTCCCCAAAGCACATTAAGATGAGACCTTTATGGGGTCCACTGCAACACTCTAATTCAGTTCAGTCACTTCCAAGGACCTACCTCCAGATACCATACCAGGATTAGATTTCAACCCTTTGGTAGCATCAGTGTATGTCTTTGGACACCACACCATTGACACAAGGGTGTTTGGATGGCAACAAAATGAATATCCAAGGTATAACATCTAGAAAAAATAGCTTTATGCTTCCTTTTCTAAAACCTACCTGTTTATTTGAGAGGCAGGAGACAGAAAGCTATAGAGATGTATTACATTGGTTCACTTCCCTAAATGCCCACAGACACTGGAGCGAACTTAGATAAATACCAAAGCCTGGACCTCAGATTGTGTTTGTGACACAAGTCTTAGGAACCCAAGCCCTTGAGCCGTAATCAGTTCTCCAAGGTACCTACTACCAGGAAGCTGGAATTGGGACTAGAACTGGGCAGAGTACCAGGCACTCTGATATGGGATGTGTACATGTGGGACGGTCTTCACTGCTGCAGCAAAAACTCATCCTGAAAAATGTTTTTTTTTTTTTTCACATGGAAAGCATCAAAGAGACAAGAAATACAAAGCATTCACTTCCAGAAATGCAAATAACAATTGAAATGCATAAGGACCCAGTATCAGGGCATCTAAGTACTTAAGATAAATAATAATAAATTTAAAGAGAGAACCAGAAGCCAATAATAATAGGGAGCTTTATTACTCTGTATAAAGAAATAGAGAGACCACTCAAACAGGAAATCAACACAAAAAATGGCACAGCTGACATGCACCTTTACTGAACTGGAGCCAACAGGCACCCACAGAACACACCCTCCAACACACGCAGCACACACCTTCTCAGCCACAACGTACAGCATCCTCCAGGAGGCACCATTGGTCAGACAAGGTCAAATCTCAACAAATTAAACAACACAGAGAAATCACATCAACTATTCTTTCTGGTTACAATGTAATAGAAGTAGAAATTAACAACTAGAAAAACTTTGAGCAATATACATAAATACATGAAGTTGATCAATTTAAACAACAAACCAAAGAAGAAATTCAGAAAGGAATCCAAGCGTAACATGAATGAAAGAGGAAACAACTTATACAAGTGTTTAGTATTACCGAGAAGGAAATCTATAGCAGCAATCAAGATCAGTATCAAAAATTAGATATTCACTGTTATTTATATGGTAACTTTCCATTGTTTGTAGGAAATAATTGCTACAGATTTTCCTTTTGTAACTACTTTAACTCCTTTTCATAAGTTTTCATAAGTTGTCTTTCCATTATCAATAGTTTCAAGTACTTTTTCTAATTTCACTTTTTATTTCTTTAGTGATCTGTTACTCTTTCAGGAGCAGGTTGTCTGTTAATTATTTACATCATTTCCAGAGCTGTTAACTTAAAGCTTTATCCTAGTGTGTTCAAAGGGCTGATTTCCTGGCCTAGCGATTCATTGACTTAGACAATAATAAGGTAATGCTGATAAGACTGAATTTCACATCTGCTGAACTGAAACTACTTGATCCTTTGGTCCGTTGTATGGATTAGGTATGTTGATTTGTTGAAATTTGTATCTACTTGATTTGCCCATTAATGTGTGGAGATGAAGTCCCCAGCTATTATTTCATTGCAACTTAAGTCTACCTTCACATCTACCAACATTCGTTTTACTCTGGCATTAGACACAAAAAATTTGAAATAAAATCTTTATCTTGAAATTACTCCTTAGTAATTATATGGCAGACTTCTTTGTCTCTTTTTACAATTTTCATCTTAAAGTATGTTTCATCTTAATGTATGTATTCAGTATAATTAATTGTGCTCAAGTTTTATGTGTGTTGTTCTAGAATGTCTTTTCCCGTTCGTTCATTATCAGTTAGCCTTGCCTTTTTTTTTTAATATGGAATGCTTCATTAATTTGCATGTCATCCTTGCACAGGGGCCAGGCTAATCTCTGTATCATTCCAGTTTTAGTACATGTGCTGCCGAAGAGAGCACTCAGCCTTGTCTTTATGGATGAAGCACACTGCCTATGGACAGCATACTCTTGGATCTTAAACATTTTACTTATTCAGCCAGTCTGTATTTTTTAATTGGTGATTTTGGAATGTTTATGTATGTGGTCATTAATAATAGGCACTAACTTTGTCCTACCATGTTTATTTTCAGATTCTTTTTGTTTGTTTTGAATTATTTATTTTGCTTTCAGTAGGTTTCATATTTTCACACGGTTTCCAATGAAAGTTAACTTTGTTTGTTTCTATACTAATATGCCCATAAATATAACTTTGTAGGACTAGTTTGATGATAATGATTTTTGTTAAGCATTTCTTGTTGTGGAAAGTTTTTATGATTCTTTTATCTATGAAAGAGAATTTCTTTGGATAAAGTATTTTGAGTTGGCAGGTATTACTGCTGTTCATTATTTTTTCAAACTTAAGACTATAGTTCTGCATTTATTTTTTCCTGACTTATCAAGTAGCTTTAAAAAAAAAAAATCAGGAAAACTGGTATCAATCTAACAAGAGTTTCTTTGAAAGTGACTTGATGATTCATACATTTTTTAAAAATCATTTTTCACTGTTCATTTGAAAGTTTTACTAGATTTGTCATGATGATATCTCCTATTTATTTGGGGCTGTTTGATCTTCCTATGCTTGGACTTCATGTCACTCTCCAATCTGTGTCCATAACTACTGATTAAAAATGCCCATTCAATTAGAAACTCAATGCCTTCCTGTGATGCTGAACAAGAAATGCTGAAAAGCAAGAAGTGGTTTCATTCATGCAAAACATTTGAGCGTGTATCATGTACAAATATTACATGAGGGCTCTAAGGGGGATGTTCCCGGACCTTTCCATCCACTCTACAGGAGCATATGCTCTCTCAACAGAAAATTGCCATGTCTGCAGTTTAAACCGAGGTCATGACATGGCTTTTGTCCATTTACCAAGTGCACTAATACAGGAAAAAAATCTGGAAAATGCAGCTGAGAATCAACAGCTGCCACTCTCAAACTTCCCTGAAGCATCAACTTCCAGGTACGATAACGTGGTTGAGGCAGCTCAGTAAGTTTTGGCCTGAAAGACAAGCACGTTTTTCTCCCGTTTTTCTACTATATATATAATATATCTGGACTACCTTAGGGAAAGACTCTTTACCATGAAATGGGGCAAGGACAGCCATATGATGGATTAGAACTGTTTTTTATGGAGTTCTGAAAGCTCTGCAAGCAACTTGGGTTAACATGAGGGGTAAAGCATCATCACCAGGATTTTGGACCAAATGATTTAGTGTTGGGTCTCAGCCTTGACTGAGTATGAGAATCAGGACAATCGCATCAGAGCAGAACCCGTGCAATATCTGTTCTTAAAGTTCCCTGTATGCTACCACTTGAAGAAATAGCCTGAACATATCAGTCTCTAGAGTATGTTCTAGGCATCTCAGGCATTCTGTAGGCAGGAGATGTCTGTCAGGATCAGGTAATTGTGTGTGTCAAGCTAACACTTGTAACAGGGCTATATATAGGGTGCCCTTATATTCAGTGAAACATTGTCCTGAGAGTGTCTATAAGAATAATTGTGGATGGGCCCGGTGGCTTGGCCTAGCGGCTAAAGTCCTCTCTCCTTGAACACACCAGGATGCCATATGGGCGCCGGTTCTAATCCCGGCAGCTCCACTTCCCACCCAGCTCCCTGCTTGTGGCCTGGGAAAGCAGTCGAGGATGGCCCAAAGCCTTGGGATCCTGTGCCCACTTGAGAGACCTGGAAGAGGTTCCTGGTTCCTGGCTTTGGATTGGCGCAGTAACGGTTGTTGTGCTCACTTGGGGAGTGAATCATCGGACGGAAGATCTTCCTCTCTGTCCCTCCTCCTCTCTGTATATCTGACTTTGTAATAAAAAAATTAATAATAATGATAAAAAGAATAATTGTGGATGAGATTTGTGGTAAATCTTAGGATAATGATGTTACACAGTGCTGTTACATTTGGGTTTCAGAGTCATGCAGACATGTATACCCTAGTGTCAGAAATGAATGGTACTAACACGGTGGAAACAATCTCATTACAGTGCTTAGTACATTGGTCTAGTGGGAGGCTCTTGGATCATAATCATAATACATGTGTTCTTGGAAGATAATGGTTAAATGTTGCCCAGCCTCCCTCTAGGCTTACTCAGTCATGATGATCCATTCATTAGAAATTCTATGCCAGCTCTTGCCCTCGTCAGAGACCAAAGCAATGGGACCACAAACCTGTACTTGTGAACCAATTGCTGAACCGTGAACCACAATGAACTTCAGTTGTGCATTAATGATGTATCTTGGAAATCTCACTTTAGTAGTGAAAAGCTAACACACAACCTTATGAGATTTCTTGTGAATTTTGAGTATGACATGATACTGTACCTGGCACCTAGATAATATGGGCTAATACTCATTTACACACTATTGTGTACATGCAGTGTAAACTTTTTTTATACTAAATGCTAAATACTTACTTGGTACACACAAGAAAAATATTTAAGAATCGCCAATCATTTGATTTCCAATGGAGTATCATTTCAGACTTACATGTTTTTACTTAAAATTTTGCATGAAAAAATAAAATTAAGATAAATACATTTTGATGCAAAAATAATTCTATCTTATAATATTCTATCTTATAATAATTCTATAGTTTTGATAAGACAAATTTTCAAAACTTAATGAAGGTTGGGCCCGGTGGCGTGGCCTAGCAGCTAAAGGCCTCGCCTTAAACGCGCCAGGATCCAATATGGGCACCAGTTCTAATCCTGGCAGCTCCACTTCCCATCCAGCTCCCTGCTTGTGGGCTGGGAAAGCAGTGGAGGATGGCCCAAAGTCTTGGGATCCTGCACCCACGTGGAGACCCAGAAGAGGTTCCTGGTTCCCGGCTTCGGATTGGCACAGCACCAGCCGTTGCAGCCACTTGGGGTGTGAATCATTGGACGGAAGATCTTCCTCTCTGTCTCCCCTCTCTGTATATCTGACTTTGTGATAAAAATAAATAAATCTTACCTTGGCATTACTTGTTGTGTACTGGTATGTGTTGCAACCGAACCTGGCTCGGCCCACACTCTGTTCTGGTGCTCGGATTCACCAGAAGTTAATGTGAACAGATTCAGGCTGGTCTGCCCCCAACCCATGCCATGTGTATGCCAGTGGGATAATTTTCATTGCCTGTTCTGGGTTGTTCCCTATTGTGCTTCTTGCGCTTACCTGCATGGGACTGTGTCCTGCCAGAGAAGTTGCCCAGGCTCCTCCACCAGAACCTCTCCCAATGCCAGTTTTCGCGCATACCAGTGGATCCATGAGCCGGCACTACTCAGTTCGCCTGCTATCCTAGGAGGAACAGTGGCTTTTCCTGCCTGGCCTCCGATCCAAGCTGGTTCTTGTTGTTGGATATTTCAACCCATCCATGGCTCTTCCATACCCCTACCCAGCTCACACATGGTTCAGTAAGGGCTGAGACCTAACCTAGTCTGTCACACAACCCTCCCTGGTCCTCCAGAGCACCAGATGGTGTTGGAATTTGGCCTGGCTTGGTGCTTCCCATCCCAGTCCACAATTGTGCCAAGTGAGATTACGATCGTATCCTGATCAGAATGTAGCCTCAGTTCCAGCCCATGCGCTCCTTGGTGGGAAACTCAACCCAGCTAGGGTGTCCCGTTATTTCCCCAACCGGGCCTCTGCCCTGCCATAGAGCAGGTGTAGGCCGGTGGTTGTTCTGTCTCCGCTTGGCAGAGCCCCTCACTTGTCCTGGCCCCTTGGATGCTGTGGCTTAGTGCCTCTGCCTCACACAGATCAGTATGTGCAAGGACCTACCTGGCATTAGCTGTGCTCCAACCTGATTTCTGTTGTTACTTGTGAGTTAAGGTTTGTTCAGCCCTGCCCATTCTGCCCCCTTCCAGTGGCAGCCCGGCCCACCCCACATCTTGTTTAAAGATGCACATTTGGGTGCTGCTGCCTTGACCTACCCTGACTGTTGTGGATTCCTTTACCCATGAGTGATGGCAGATGGCGTGGTCACACCTAGCTTAGACCATTGCAACCCCAGCTTGGGAACTAACCCGGGGGACTTGTATTCCTAAGGGTTGGGCCCACACAACCCCACAGAGCCTACCCCAGCCCAAGTTCTCTTGTGTGCTGGAGAGTGTCTTGATCCTGCCAAATGTGACCACTCCACACCTCCAACACTCAGTCGGGCAATGATACCCAACACTGCCAAAGAGGCCCCCATCCATAGCTTCGGTGTGGGCTAGTATGTGGTGATCAGTGATGTTCTATACTAATATCCCATCTCTGTATTCATAATTGAGCTGTTGCATCTGTCTTACTAAAATTATCTTCTGGACACTTACCCCAAACCATTAGGTCTTGGTCCCCTTGCCTGCTTAAATCTTTCATGACCCTGTCACTGAGAATACCCGAAAATTCACTTTGCACCTACACTCAACCTAGTCTTAGTCATGAGTGACCCCAGGCAGCAACTACATATCTTGAAAACCCCAGAGTTTGCCCTTCCGGGCGGCCAGCAGGCAATGCCTGGCACCATGTGGTGCACTGGCTGCCCTGGGGGAGGCCGAGGACTCGTTCACTGCCTTGTGGCAGTGTCTTTGGCGTGAGTCCCCCGCATTGGGTCCGACCCGGCAGGGGCACCCCCCACAGTAGCCACACTGCAAGGAGCGTCAGTTGCCCCAGAGCCCAAGGACCGAACTCCTCCCAAACTCCCCCAGCCGCATGGTCTTAGCAGCTGGGCGGAGCTAGGAATTTCCACCCAGTTCCCAAGTTCCCTCATGGCGGACTTACCCTGAGTCAGGCCAGTCCCCTGCACTGATGTACCTTTACTTTACTTTTGTTGAGAAACCCAAAACCACTCAAGAGGACACTTAAAGAGCATGAGCTTCTGAGCTAGGAAGTCTGGAAATGATTGATATCCGTCCTTTACTAATTTTGTAACTAACCTGCCTGGGTTCAAG